AGAAAGGGGGAAAATGAGACAAGTCAGTCTGCTCTACAAAAACCTGTATATCTGTGCTCCTGAAACTATCCATCCCATGTACCGAAAAAGGAAAATTCTCCCAAGTAACCATGATGCATCCAGGTCACAATCTGTGTTAATTTTAAGAGCACTCTGACTTAGATTAAGCAAAAAGCCATGGAAGAACTTGAGAAACTGCTCACATCCTATTGCCTGGCAACATGTGTTTGGAAGATGGAAACCAAAACAACTTAAATGACCTTTTTGACAAACATTCTAAAAGAGTGGAAATAACTGCCCCGCTTTTCACTGTAAACCAGCAAGGCTAACAGCACTGACAAAAATATCTTCAAGGGTTATGTTGGTGGACTGCAGATCAGTAGCACAAAATTCTTCCCACTGCATCCTAGGAACAACTGGCTCAGAATGAGAAAGGGGCACGCAGATAAGAAATGGTTCAGGACATACTCACCTTTTCTACTTTTGCATATTTTTTAATATCAATTTCCTTTCTGCCATTTTCTTCAAACTCCACAGTCTTAACAGCATCAAGAGCAATGCTACAGGCCAAGTCAGACCAGCGGTTTATTGCCTTGGTATTTATAGCACTCTTTATTATTTTAAGCATCATCTCTTTGTTGTTCACGTCCACTGGAGTGCTGACACAAAGGAAAAACCAAACAGTAAACAGAGTAATACTCCAAGCTACAATCTATTCATAATCCCATTAAGTCCCTCTCCAATTACATTAAAGTTACATTTTACTAACATGATTCCCTGAAGAATCATCTTTAAGCAGTACAGAAACCCCATATCCCTTCTCTCCAACTCCCACCAGCTCATACTTACCCAATTTTCTTTAGAATACTGATCATGTCATCCAGAGCCTTACGATAAGCCCCAATGATCACAGTTGGGTGCATCTGCTGTTCAAGGAAGTGTTCAGCAACAGAGAGCATCTCTCCGGCTAAAAAAAACCCAACAAAACCAAACCATCAAAATTCCCCAGATAAGTTAGTAGAACAACCAACAGTCAAGACAGGAGAACAGCACACCAGACAAAAAGTATCTGCTGTCCACATAGAGAACTCTAACGGCATCTATACCTTACTTTATACTTAACTGTGCTTATCTGAGGGAAAGAACACAACTTTCCAAAACATGGAGCTGATCACCTAAGGTGATCTAATGAACCTAGCATTCTCTTTCGGGGGGGGGGAAGAAAAAAAAAAGGGTTGACTTTTAGGGTTGGTAAATAACAAGTATCTGTCTCATTAAGGCGTACTTACTGGGCTCTGATGAGCAAAAAGGGCGAACTTCAGCATTAACTCTTTATAAAAAGTATGTCTTATTCACTCTCCTTACCAAGGATAATTACAGATGTGGTCCCGTCTCCAACTTCTTCATCTTGAGTACGGCTAATCTCTATCATTGATTTTGCAGCTGGATGCTGGACTTGAATCTGTACAGGAGCAATGGGTATGTTTTTGTTCCAGAATACTAAAGCTGAAACTTCATTCATCACTCAATGGAACAAATACCAGACCTTTTAAACAATCAAAGGCATTCTGCCCAACTACAGCAAAGATTTTTCTTCCTTTTTGAGACTGAAAATAAGCCCTCACCTTTCACAATATTATGTCTCCCACGGTTTTTCAGGCATTACGATTTCTGTGATGTTATTTTAACAGCACTTGCACCAGGAAGACGACAATAATTTCTTAGTCTAATTATCTGGCATTGTAAAAGCAAGTATCTGCTCATAAGGTTTTGATGCAAGTGATTATAGCTACAATTACCATACAATTTACAGCAGTCTTGTAAAACCTCCATGAAAACTTACCACCCTGGGATCAAACCTACTCTTCTGAAGAGGTTTGCTGGAAATATTTAATCATATCCCCCCCTCCCCCCCCAGTAAGCACCCTTTTTGGTACTGCTGTTCAGTACTTGTTGGCTCTCAAGTCAAAAGATAACATAATAGTTCCATTGGCAGCTATGTAACTGTATCCTGGCAGATTCCGACTCACATGTTAAGCAAGACAATCCTTTAGGAGAAACTTACTTCTCTAAGAATAGCATTGCCATCATTGGTCATCACAATCCCACCCATGGGGTCCAAAAGCATCTGCAACCAAAGAGAAGCAATATTTGCACTGACCTATAATATGTGTAGCATTTCTAGTCAGTATGCAGCACAGGTATTTCAACAAAAGTTCTTACCTTCATCATAGCTCTTGGTCCTAAACACGTTCGGATAATGTCAGCAATAGTCTAGGAGGAACAAAAGAAATGAAGCAATACAGGAGGGCATCAGAAAGTCTGAAAAAACATAGTCTATATGAAATAAGCAGCCACTGCAAAATTTAAGTGACCCAATGACTCTTCAGTTGCTTAGATGCAGAAGTTAAGAACTGTGTGGGAATGAGAATACAGGGATTATAAGAGCACTGGCACGACACTCAATTATTATTTAAATCGGCTATCAAAATTTATACACTTTCAGATTTTGCAGGGAAAGAGGTTTTGGTGTTTTAAACCCCGCCATGTTCAGCTACATTGCACCCATTATTTTAACACCGAAAATTCACTTTCTATGCTGCTTCTACTCTGGATTTGTACAGACTAGAGAAAACATGTTTCAGATCCAGTTTTCCTCCTTAAATATATAAATACATATATATATATGCACACATACTATAAAAAAAAAAAAAAAAAATCAAAATGGCCTGACATGAGAATATGATACCTTAGCAGCAGTGATGTTTCCAGTCTGGACTTTTCTTCCAGACTCACGTTTCATATTCTGACCTAAAGTGCATAGAAAAAAATAAAATATTAAAGTACAAATATAACTTTAATCTGATCTTACTAGGAAGTCCAAGACTGAAAAAGTGATACTGACAATACATCAAAGACACCCTCTCAGTCACACACACTTGATATATGACCAGTTCTAAATTAAGAGTTTACAACATAAATATCACAGCCACTATTAAGAAAGCATATAAGAGTTTCGGTGAAAAACAACATTCCTCATTATAACAGAATTGATTAGCATCATAATTCAACTGAGACAAAACTGTGCAACCCTGAAGTATAACCTATTCCCCAAAGAAAATCAAACAGCAGTGACTCACTAGAATGCGCAAGATCCCACAAAGACTATGAACTGCTGCACAGTAGTTTTCAGTCAAAAAAAAGTTACAGATGCTCACGCACAGTAAGTGGAACGCTGGTTTAAAATTAAGTTTTGTACATCAATGTTGCTGGGCCTTTGGCACATTAGGGTGAGTAGCCATTGCTGTATCACAGGCTCACAACCGTGTTTGGGGACTAGCTGTCAAAAGGGTCTGCCCTAAAGAATATCTAGGCTTGGTGCTGCTTTTGTTTTATAAAAAGCTTAGACTGGATGGGCATCATTTACTTCAGGAGTGGATATTTGTGCATATTGATTTATAAGACAGAACAAAAGAAAGCTACAGTAAAAGCAGCACAAAGAATAAGGTAAGCAGACCTATAGCAAAGGGGCCCTGGGCTACAACAGCCTGCCTCTTAGGTTAATGGTTAACAGAGCAGATGGAGAGCTGAGGATGAGAAACCCACGCAGAACCTCCAGGTTCCCCCCAGGAAAGTCTCATATTGGGAGGCTGGTGAGAGAATCACAAAGTGCAAGGGGTTCAAAGGGGGCGGCACAAAGCAACATGCCGAGAAACACAGGAGGAGAAACACAGCTGAGAGAAGACGAGATCTGCCAGGAGAGGTTTAAGGAGGAGCGGGGGCTCCGCTACCCTGACATCTCTCTCGCAGGGAGCGAAGTGGGG